GTTTATAGCTCTCCCCAGCTCCCTTTAGGCAGGAAACAAAGTTTTGCTCTCACAAATGACTACCCCGTAACTAATTACACAGTGATTGGTTTGTTTTCATAGAAGGGGTTACGTGGGAACGATGAGACCCAGAAGTGGTTATAAATCACACGTGAGGTTCATATGACACACGCACAGAGCTGCACCCAGATCTTGCTACGTATATTATGTTCAGCAGAGAGCAATTACATTATTCATTTTCTAAGCCTTTTTCTTTTTTTCTTTTTTTTTTTTCCTGGAGTATAGCTCAGGCATTTTCAGATTTCTAACATCTTAGTTACTTACAGGAACTTTTTTCTAGCGGTCTTAAGAGCCCTTGCCATTAGCTTTTGTAACTCTTCCTGAACTTGAAAAGATACAGCTACAATTTTTAAGTTATCAAGTAGTTCTTCGGTAATAAAGAGCTGAGTTAAACGGAGGGAAATACGAAGGTCATCTGGATTTTCCATACCAGAGGGAAACTTCAACCTTGTAGAATCAAACAAAACCATCACCCACCCACCCAACCTGAGAGGAGTAACCAAGAAAACGAGCTGACCAAGATGCAGTTACTCACCTGGGAACTCACACCCCAGCGAATTTCAACAAACTATTTATGAAGGGCTTTACAGTTGTAATACCCACTTCTCTCAATGTTCCTCAGCATTTATAACAAGCTGCCAGGTATTCAGTGACTAAAGGACATTTTATTAAATTTTTAACTATCACAACTCAGGGAAAGCTGGAAAAGCAGGTTTCATGCTGCAAAGTTTGGGGTTTACTCTCAGAAGCCCCCCCGCTCCCTGCTCACCTGTGAGCTGCCCAGATTTGTGGCAGGTAAGAGCAGAGGAGACGGCGGCTCCAGCCCACGAGTGAGGGACCTGCTCTGCCAGGAGCACCCCGCGGAGGAACCACACCGTATTCCACAGCGAGACACAAAAACAACTGACTTTAAGGGCAGTATCAATTTCTTAACTTTGCATTTGAAGACATTCTGGCGTTTCAAGGACCTCCCAGATCCCCCTCCCAGTTCTCTAGATGTTTTTCTCAGGGGCTGCTTTACTCTCCCTTCATTTGAGATTGATTTCACGGACTTTTAGAGCACACCCAGGTTTTTTCAGATGGGGGGAATTATATTTTGGCCTATAAACTTGCTGAGTATTGGTTCCAGAACAACTACCCACACTGTAGGATGTCAATAACATCTGAATAGCTTTTACAGGATTGCCTCCAACTCCAAGTACCCCCTTGGCATTCCAGGTCGATATTCCTTCCTTGCTTTGTCTCACCGTACAGCTATTAGTGAGCTTTTATTGTGGTAACTAGTGAAATCCTCACCGCAGTTCGGGATTAGGGATCGAACTAGTAAATTCCTATAAAGAGCTGAGAAATGAAACTCCTTCATCAACCCTACCTTCAATTACTAATTTATTTTTAAGGGAGAAACATCACATTCTAATAGCTCTTGCTGGACAGCCAGTTAAAAAGCATAAACCCTCATCATAAAAAAAACCAAAACCACTGGATGAATCACATTTTCAGTTGTTCTTGTTAAGATGTACAGCTTTGCATTTTGCATATCAAAACTGGTAATTCTTAATGAGATTTCTGAAAATTTGGGAGAAACATCACATTCTAATAGCTCTTGCAGGACAGCCAGTTAAAAAGTATAAACCCCCATCATAAAAAAAATAAAAACACTGGATGAATGGCATTTTTAGTTGTTCTTGTTAAGATGTACAGCTTTGTATTTTGCATATCAAACCTGGTAATTTTTAATGAGATTTCTGAAAATTGTTGGACTTCAGTGCTCATAAACTGGGCTCCCCAGCTCCAGAAGGACAGGGAGCTGCTGGAGAGGGGACAGCAGAGGGGTACAAAGACAACGAGGGGCCTGGAGCATCTCTCTGCTGAGGAAAGGCTGAGGGACGTGGGTCTTTTTAAGATTCTGTACTAGTTGTTTTTTCCAGTCAAACCCAGAAATAGGGACCTTTAGGGAAAAAAATAGTAAATACGTTAGTTCACTTAACGGATGATTTAAATTTCACTTCATCCCTCAAGGAGCATAATTGGCATAAAACAGCAGGTTCATCTGTGCTGGAAATGCTGCTGCAAATGGGGGTATTTCAACAAACTATTTATGAAGGGCTTTACAGTTGTAATACCCACTTCTCTCAATGTTCCTCAGCATTTATAACGAGTTGCCAGGTATTCAGTGACTAAAGGACATTTTATTAAATTAGGGATTTTGGTTTTATAGTCTCAAGTATGAGCTTTGAAAGTCTGAGAGAGCAGATTGAACACCGCACTCCCCAGACACAAGCACCCGAGTATCCACAAGTGATATGTGTTGTGTAGCACCATTTATCACATAAATGGGACTTCTGAAACACCTGACATACTCACAACACACACTGCTGCAAGTGGCAAAACCACTCAGTTCTTAGTCATTTATACCTTCAACTTATACAGTGACTTATAGCTCTCACTTCCAATGAACAAAGAATACTTTATATTATACTCATGCAATGGTTGCATTGCATCCACATAAAATCTAATTCTCTGGTCTTCACGTGCCCTCATCAGTGGACACAAACTGTTGAGTCTGTTCCCAGGGCAGAGCTGTGGCCACCAAAACTGCTGAAAAAACATCCCCACCAAAGCCAGTGCTTTTGCAGCAGGTTTGTAACCTCCAAGAACAGCAGCAGGTCCTTTACAACACAACTACTGTCACTTCTAACACCAGCCATTGGATTTGTGCCACTCTTTATGGTGAAATTCTTCCTGTGATTCAAAGGGGAGGGTTTCCCAGCACCATTGTTCCTCACTGTGAGGTTCTCGGGGACCAAAGGCTGGCAGGACATGGGTGTCAAGAGTCATGGAATGGTTTGGGTTGGAAGGAACCTTAAAGATCATTAAGTTCCAACCCCCTGCCCTGGGCAGGGACACCTCCCACCACAACAGGTTGCTCCAAGCCCCCTCCAACCTGCCCTTGAACCCCTCCAGGGATGGGGCAGCCACAGCTTCTCAGGGTCAGGCAGTTCTGTTATCAAACAAGCCCTGCAAAACCCACATTGCTGCATCTACACCCTCCAGAAGGTGTAGATTTACCTTGGAATCCTTTCCAAGAAGTCTGGAAACCAGCAGTTGAGCAGGAGGGTACGTAGAGACACCTTTTGCCGTAGAATGGGAGATGCCTTCTGCAGTTTTCACCCTTCCTCACAGGTACATGGACCCTCTGTGGACCCTCTCAGTCTGCTGAGACAGTCAGCCCACCCTCTGCTATTAGCCTGGCTACAGAGAGTCAAAATTAAAGCAGACAGTAACAGGCAGGGAAAGGCATGGTGTTGCTCCTTCCCTAATTGTTCCATATTTTTACCTGGAAGCCAATGGAAACTCGGCCACTGACTCACAGGTGAATAACCCACCTCTCATAAATACAGATCCAAGACGGAGAAATAGAGAGCTCACTAATAATTCAAAAAGATTAAAGCCCAAATAGCTTAGAAATGAAACTCCTTCATCAACCCTACCTTCAATTACTAATTTATTTTTAAGGGAGAAACATCACATTCTAATAGCTCTTGCAGGACAGCCAGTTAAAAAGTATAAACCCCCATCATAAAAAAAATAAAAACACTGGATGAATGGCATTTTTAGTTGTTCTTGTTAAGATGTACAGCTTTGTATTTTGCATATCAAACCTGGTAATTTTTAATGAGATTTCTGAAAATTGTTTGCTTATTGATAAGACTTCAGCTTGGGCCTTTTCCATCTTCAGCTGGAACTATGCTCCCCTCCCTGACCAGGAGTCCCTCCCCATCTCTCCTGGAGCCCCTTTAGGGACTGGAATTTACATTTTAACAGAAACAAACCACCTGCAACCCAAAATCCTAGCAAAGAACTGGGAAGAGAGGTAAGGGAGAGTGAGCAAAGGGGGCTGCTCCCCAGATTGCCCCCAGTCAGGATCCAGGAGAGGAGCTTTGGCAAACAGGAGGTTGTTATAACTTGAGGCAGATGGAAATGTGCTCACTCGTCGAAGCGTTATCCCCCAAGAGGAAGGAAATTATGTTGTCTTGAACACGCCGTGGGTAACAGACAGGGAAAGGTCCTGAAATAGAACACAACTAATAATAGTTTTGGAGAATGAAATGAAAGCTGCCTTTCGCACAGAAAGGGGGCGTTTCTTCTTAGCAGATTAAAAAGTAGGACTTTTTTTTTAGTCACAAGAGTATTACAACAGGCACGCCTTGTCCTGATGAGGACTTAAGCTATTGCCTATAAATTACAGGAGTTTGTTGTACAGTATTATCAACAGGATCATTTCTGTGATTGAAGAGTTGACAAATTCTGGTCTATACAAAACACTGAATAATATGAGGTACTGAGCTTTAAAGAACCTTTGAATTATAACTAGACCACAACCAACTCATGAATGGCTTTTTAAAATTTTAGATACTAACAATAATCCGAGTCCTGCCTTGAAAAAAAGGGCAGAATTTTATTTGTAAGCCAAAGGTTCCTTCGAGGTCAATTTGATGATGAACTAGGTCAATTTAACGATGAAATAAATCTTCCCAATTAAAGCACATTTCACAATAAAGCTCAAGAAGAAAACCAACTTTCAATTTCAACACAACATGCGTTTCTAGCACTGCTCATTTCTTTCCATCAAAATCAGCCCACTCTTTTGTACTTTTGTGCCTTCTCGACTGAATCCACATCAGAAAACAAACCCTTCTTCCCGGGAAGGGGCTGGACATCACCTGCTGATGCGAAGTAGAGAATAAATGTTTTGTTTTCCTTTGCTTTTGTTTGATTAAACCGCCTTTATCTTGACCACAAGGTGGTTTTTTTCCATCTTATTTTCTCCCCACCTCATCCTGCCAAGGAGCAGAGTGACAGAGTGACAGGGTGGGCACCTGGATGCAGCCACAGCGATCCCACCACACATCAGGAGGGAAAAAATATCACAATTAACATAAAATTATTGTAATTATTCCATTTTAACATTTATTCTTGCATAGAAAGCCAAATAGCCAGAGACATCCATTTCGGACATGTTATGGCATCAGCAGCACCCATTATTCCACAGAAACCACATTTAAGTCCAACCGGAAAAGGGAGGCTTCAAAGTGCTTCCGTGTGCATTAAAACAATATTAAATCCTTTTTAGGTTTTGTGTTCCGAGTTTTTAGAAACGCTGATTTTTTTATGAGGTTTGGTAGCTTCGTCCATCAGCTCCTTCAGCTGCCCAATCTGCTCGTCACGGAAGTCATTCAGTTTTTCTTCCGTGAGCCGCATCCCGTACACAGTCTCTGCTCTCAACTTCTGTTTCTCCTCGTTAATTTGCTGCTCTATCAGCGCTGCATAGTTCTAATGAGGAAGGAATACACAGGTCACAAAAATGACAAATCCAGCACTCAGGTCAACTTTTTTTAATAGCATTTTACTGTACTAACATACTCTTGTCAACCTTCTAAAACAGTCTGTTCATCAGCACCAATTGATCCCCCAAAAATACCCTTTTTATAAGAAAGAAAAAGTTTTTAAGACATTTCTAGTATCTAGGGTCAATTTCAAGTAGCTAGTTTAAAATACATATTATATATGAACAGATTAATTCTGTCATCTCATGTACTACTACTGAAAACAACCCAAAAATTAATCATAGATCAAATATACCCATGTAGTTATAACCATTAAAATACATGTTTTCTATCTAGCAGGATATCAAGAGGATTCACTTTGTAAACTTATCCATCTGGAAAAGTATTACTCTCAAAGATACGTATCAGAAAAAGCAATCTGTAATTAGCCAGTGTCCTAAAGCCTTTTGGCATAACCCCTCCCTGCATTTCTGGGAACTAAATGTTTAAAAACAAACTCCACAATTAAGAAATTAATTTCAAAAAATTAAAATTTGGAAAAACATAAAGAAAATATAAATATTGGAAAAAATATAGACTTCCCTATTTTGGTAAGGTATCCTTAAAGTTTCAATCTCAGCTCCGAAGACAGTAAAAGAAATTGAACTAAAAAACCCCATCCTGAATAAATAAGAATGATGACTGGTATATGGTATCACTTTTTTTTTTTTCTTTTTAAATAAAGGATTATATATCAGGAGTACTCAAAAGCACAGGATTTTGGCAATGAGATATAAGCATTATTTTAATTTCAAATTTTCAGCTGGAAGGAGCCTCATCATGGAATACTGAATTGTTAATCCCATTACCAGCAAAGTTCCTAAAGCCACTACTTCAGCTGCACAACTAATAAACAATGTCTAATAATTCCAGGGAAGGGGGTGAGAAGGAAGAAAGTTATTCATCAGCAAGTGATAAATTTCAAAATGACAATATTTACCAACATAAATACACGACATTGTTTATAGACCACGTCAAGCCTTACTAAAGTCACGCTGCAAAACTTAATTCATGGCTATTTAAACAAAATAGATCGATAAAACAAACCCAGCAAACAAAAGTAAATTTATATTAATACAGACTCTGAACTAAACTGATTCCTTATTTTTAGAGGTATATGTAGCAATGGAACTTTACATTAAAGTTCCCCAATAAGAAAAATAATAAGTTTCATAATAGCAAGATTCTTCCCCACATGATCTCTCCCCTTTTTACATTAAATTTGCTTTAAATAATGTAAATTCAGGAACAGCGACTCTACTGTTAAACCCTGCACTAACCCCACACCTCAGCGGCATTGCCTTATGGTAGAGTTGGTCCAAGGTTTAGGAGGAACTAAATACAGTTTTTCTTGAACAATCAACAACAGGAAAAGAGAGAATGGGTTAAAAATTCTTCAAATTTGCAATTTATGTAATTTCTCATCAAGGCAGTTGGACAAAAGCGAGCTCTGAGGTGGAAAGTAACACACAACATTTTGCACATCAACTGCTCCACCTCATTTTATCTTCAAATTTCTACCCAGAGACAATTCTACTGAAGAAAAATATTCACAGCCCGTAATTCAGAAGCAAGACTGAAAGCACGGAACGTGAAACCCTCCACATCTTATCAAGAGATCTGAGAACTCCTCCAAACGATGTCCTACCAGGGCAGGCTCCACACTGGGAGGACCACCATTGATGATCAACCACCCTGGAGCAACCTGGGGCAACAGTGCCTAGAAATCCCTCAAGTCCATTTAAAGGCCAGTTACAATTTTACAAACTTTGTTGACGAAATCATCGTATTTTCCAAAAACATCAAATTAACTACTGGTAAAGAGTCTACAATGTTTGTTGTTTTTTTTTTTAATCCAGCATCAAATCATCCCATTTCACAAAGCATCAGGGAAGTGGTGGTCCTGGACAAAGCCCCAGTGGTCCCTCTCGCAGGGATGGACCATCCTTCCCCATCCCTTGATGCCGGGGGTTCCCCTTCGCAGCGCTCCCTGCTCCCACCTGGACACATCACCCCCCCCTCCTGTTTTGTCCCCCCACTCATTTTCCAGCTGAACAAATGTTCTGTACAGCCCCAACAGCCCTGCGTTTCACACCAATTTGTAGCCTGAACAGAAATTCAAGTTTAGACCCCAAAAACATGCCGGGTTTTGGCCAACTCATGACACAAAATGGAACTTTCTCGCCTCATCTTACCAAAAGGCAGCGACGCACCAAAGAAAATACATTTCAGCCTTTAGAAAAGCCCTGGAAAAAGATCAAATGCGAGGCCTGATGAGGAACGAACACAGTTTGGGATATTCAGGTGTTTAACACATTACTGTTCCCGCAGAAATTCACTGTTATTACGGGCTCAGCGGTTCCTGGACAGGTACCACATAATTGGCTGGTACACAGGTCTGTAATTTAAGATTCAGGTTCTATACAGAAAATGCACCACTTTGCTGACTGCACATGAACTTTAATATGCTGAACTCCAGAGTTCAGTAATAGGATAAAAAGCATAATAAAAAAAAAAGACAAACCACACACAAACAACCAAAAAAAAAAACCAAGCTAAGATCTGTTCTTTGAATGCTACACCTCTGGTTACAAAATATGATGATCACAGCCCCTCAGACAATAAGGAGGAGCAGAGTGTTTGTGTTTGCTCCAGTTTTCAGCAGAACTGATACAGACACAGAATTTAACTATTTACAACGACCATCTTCCCCCCCAGCAGAACCAAAACAACCCCTGCTCACCTCTCCCAAACAAAGAAAATTACTTTCCTTCTGCCTTGGGTTTTATTTCACATGTAACTACATCTTCCAAATGTAACAAACCTCTTCTGTCAGTCACAGCACAAATCCCTGGCAGATTTTTTAAGGGCATTTTATTGCAATTATGTTTCACATTCTGCTCACAGAACCCGAGACGGGAGACACAAAAGGGGAGATAAGGAAACCTGCACCCAGTTCCAACACAGACACCCCAAAACTCCCCAAAGCAGATGCCTCACCTGAACATCCTCATCTGAAGAGAGAAGGCTTTGGGGAGACCTTAGAGCCCCTTCCAGTCCCTCAAGGGGCTCCAGGAGAGATGGGGGGGACTCTGGATCAGGGAGGGGAGCCATAGGATGAGGGGAAAGGGTTTGACACTGAAAGAGGGGAGATTCAGACCAGATATTTGGAAAAATTCTTTGGTGTGAGGGTGGTGAGAGCCTGGCCCAGGTTGGCCAGAGAAGCTGTGGCTGCCCCATCCCTGGAGGGGAGGCTGGAGGGGGCTTGGAGCAACCTGGGTTGGTGGGAGGTGTCCCTGCCCAGGGCAGGGGTGGGAACTGGATGATCTTGAAGGTCCCTTCCAACCCATACTGTTCCATGATTCTATGATGCCCAACCTTGGAGAAGCTGGTTCTGCCCACAGATCACACTGGCTCTCCTAAAATCTTATGTCATGATTAAATACTTGAACCTCTAAGCAATTCCTACAAAAGCACAGAAGGTATCTGCTGTAACCAGTAACCACTGGGGTTTTTAATTTAAATTCATTAACCAAAGCAAATACACGTGTTTTTTTCTGCTCTCTGATAAATAAGCATTCACAGAATGCACAAATTCATCAAAAGGACAAGGGGACGGGTGACATTTGAGGTTTTAAATACCACACGTTACAGAAAGGGCGTCAGCCTCGTTGTTTTCCAAGTTAAGGAAGTTATGAAAGACCATGTCACCATTTCTAATTACAACACACAGAAGTTAAACAGATTTCTCCAGGACTTAAATAGTGGGAACAACCAGAAAAGCTTTCAAGTTCTCTAAAAGTCGATCTGAAAGGAAAAGCCAGGAGAACTTTTAACACCATCATGTTTTTCCAGGAGACTCGGGGAGGATGCTAGAACATGAGATTATGGGCCAAATTTCATGGTGATGATCACAGTAATGACGTACACACCACAAATACGCAGAACCATTACCATACAAGGGGGTTGGGGTTTTGGTTCCTTGCTTCTTTGCATTTTGGGAGGAGAGTATGAAAAATGGCTCAGCTAAAATGGAGCCAGGTAATATAATTACAGAATACTTAGTAATCAGCACGGAGAATTATTATTTGATCAGGAAGGTATAAATGGACTACTTTTTTTTTCCCCGAACACAGTTTTACTAATATTGTTAAACTGGAAGAAATGACATTTATTTAGAGGAATGTGAACAAAGCTCAAGATCTAACTCAGCTTTGTTTATACATTAAATAACATGTTATTTTAATGTCCTTTTTTCATGTAAGACCTATGAGATCATAATTTGAGGTGGAAGTGGGAAGTTTGTGGCCCGACTGTCAAGGTAACGATATATCAATGCTATTAAGACTAAAACGGGGCACAACAGCATCTCAGTACATCAGAGTGACTTCACTGCCATTTGTGGAAAAACAAGCTGTGATTAATTATTTCTCTCTGGATGCACAATACTTACATGAGTATTGTACATCGGGGCCAAAATCTAGGTCACTAAAAGCTTTTTGCACCACCTGGTAACAACCATAATCTTTAAGATCCTATCCACTTATGTTAATAAGCTTCATCTCAGGCCTTAAATAAAATGCCTGAGTTTGTTCTAGGGAAAAAGAAAGGGGAAAAAAAAAAGGATTAGAACATACTTGAAGGAAAAATAACATTAAAAAAAATAAAATGACCTATTAAGTTTTGTAAAGAGAGATCAATTTGAAACATAGATGCAGCACAAGAAACGGGGCAGGAGGAAGAGACAGGAGGGGGAACAAATAGAGATGGTCACAGGGATGGGTTCCAGTGGCTCAACAAGATCCTACCCTGATCCCTCTTCCCCTGGACTGGTTTTATCAGCCAAAGCCTGAGCTTCACCAAGAAAGAAAAAAAAAAAAGATTTTTTTACAAGAGAATGAAAAAAAAATATATTCTCTGAAGTACATATCAGTATTTGAGAATCTT